CCATAAAACAATCAATCAATCAAACTCAGCTCACCTTTGTTCAGAGCGTCTGACTCAACCCCCCTTCCTCAAACTTCATACATAATAGCTTCGTCTTTCACTTCTTGCCTTTTACCAATGATACTCTAATTTGGCAGACCAAATATGGAGCGCAAATGAACTAGAATACTTAGCTCCTACATTGTGCATCAGGGGGTGTGGGATAGACTTACCTCCTCGTGGTGCTTCCTGAGCAACGTGTACTCATACGGCAAAAAAGTCTATTAACTGGCAGTTGACTTCTCACTTCAAACTACCATCACCCCACTGTATGTTATATTCGACCCCTATCACAGTGCTCATCTTACCCTTTCTGAGCCTTTGTGTCTGTCTGCCTCTTTTACATCTGTGAATCACTTTTCTATTACCCCTCCCGAATTCTTTCACTATGATGTTCCTCCTCCCCGCTGTGAAGCCCGATGTCAACTAAAGGGCTAACGATAACTATCAAAACGCCTGCCCTTTGTTATAAATATTACGCATCAGTTAGGCCGATGATTGTGAGTTTAAAACCTCCATAATAGTTCCATCGATTTCCTTTTTCCAATCTTCTCTACTTGGCACTCTTCTTCCCTATAAAAACAATGTCCTCTTCCTTTCGAGTTTTGTGCAATTACAAAGAACATTAAATAGGAAGGCTTATCATACATCAGGGGGACAAAATTATAATAGATAAAATTGATTCCGGCGGAAATCATATTTCGGCAAGTTCTAGTGCATCACCGGATCCCCGAACTAACAAGGCAACACATAAACACGATTAGGTGTACTTGAATTAGCGCACAATAAAAGTGCACCTGACCACATACCATTACCAAAACACCTAACTAGACTAGACAAGTTGTTCAACACTCCTCATTGAAAAAAAGATTCGAGTACCGACTCAGCTAGATCAAGCAGGCACAAGACCGACCACAATAGGCACAGGACAAAAAATAACAAAACAACTTCATTTCGAGAAATGCATACATTTCCAGAGTATTCATGTTTAGATATTGAAGAGGGAGGAAGGAGGGTATAAAGGAGTGTTGTGGGAGGCGGGGTGAAGGGTGGGGTCAAGAGTGAGGTAATACGTTTGTCAGAGACCTCCCTCTCACACAATCGGGGTCAAGGGTCACACACAAAATATATATATCGCGATTTCTCATCATGACAAGAGCGGGCGCTTCGATGAGTACGTACCGAGGGAATGGTCAGGGAGTCAGAAAGATGCGAGCTACAGACGTGGGGACAGGGCTGCATCTTGCTCAAAATAAAACGACGACGATTCATGACTTTAATAAAATGCGTGTTCATTTAGATTTTTGTTCAACAGGGTTCGTTTGATTCAACTATACACAGGAGAAGGGAAAGAAAAATTACACATAAACACAGAGGGGAAGAATGAATGGGGAGACGTGGGCCTGGACCGTCATTATACAGCGGCTACCACTTCTCTCTTGCTTGTAGACGACGGTGTTTCATTTAAGGTTGCCACCTTACTTTCATTCTCATTATCCACAATTTTCGATTGCTCCGGCAATTTCGATTCGGTACAATCCTCTTTCTTACTAGACCACTCCTTCTCCTTCGCATCACCTATCTCCTTCTTCGACTCCTCAAGAGATTTCAAAAGTTCCGCAACCTTTTCTGCTGAAGGCATCTTTGGAATGAGGTCATAGATGCCCTCAGAATGACTATCCCTTTGTGGTAGATTAAGAAGACAACCAGAGAGCAATTGCGCCACCGTGGCATCTAACACTCTCGATGTAGCTAAACCAAGAATTCTCAATTCCAAATCGGGTGTAAACCGACTCCTTCCAAAGGAGTTAGCTGCCAGCCTCTCTAACATAGCTCCGGCTCGTCGAAGCAATTCCAATGAAGTACCCATCAACTCCGGTGTATCCTGCAGCATCTGAACTCCATACTGATCAATTACTCTACGTGTTTTAGACTCCATAACTTCTATAAAGGCTACCAGACCTGCAACAGGACATGGTTTTGCCTCAGCAATCATCGAGAGTCCGTAAGTTGACGCATTATTTCCATCAACCTGCTGTTGACAGATGTTTGCTGGAGGTTCAGAGAGGTAGTGCATTGTGGAGAACGCCAATTCCCGTGTAACTTGATCTTCGGGCAGAGATAGCCAGGAGGCGAGGCGGTCAAACAGCTGTTGAGCACTGAGAGCATCCATCGTTGCGAGTAACATGGCCACATTCGACTCACTCACTGACAACCTATTAAGAGCCTCCAATGCAAGGCGACAAGGGGAGATGATACGATGACCAGGTAGGGGATCAGTCGCCGCAGCAGTTTGACAAGTCACCCAGTGAAGCAAACCCTCCAGAAGAGGTCTAATTATTGTTTCATGAAGAGGAGCACATTGAAGATGACCCGAAATGTTAACCAAAAGGACCAGGATATTCTCACATAGCTCATCCAACCACGGCATCCACCAGGCGGAGTTTGATTCATAGCGAATAGCGTGATCTTCCACACAAGCCCAATCCACATTAGGATTGTCGAAATGAGTGTGTGCAACAGTCAACAACCTTCCAGCTAAAGCAAGGAGAGCCTTATGATTGGCCAGAACCCTTTCACATGAGGGGAGGAAAGAGAGATTTCGAAGAACCGTGGAAATACAAAGACATCGTAACGCAAATCCTTCTGCTCGTTCAGAGACTGCATCAACCGGCCAAAGAGCGGAATCACCCCGACGAATAATCTCCGACCTAGCACGAAGTGGACAGTATCCTCTAGAGTCCGTCATCAATCGATGACTATTCAATTCTGAATCCTGGTCATCCTCCAAATCAACATTATTCGGTTCAGTACCAGCAGTGGAAGAGGCATTCAGAATAGCCTCTGTCTCATTCTTTTCCTCGAATTTCTGAGGGGAGAGAACAGGAAGAGACGAAGAGGAGAGAGACCGTGCTCGTTTTGAATTCTTTTCCGAAGGAGCTTCATTTGATAACAAAACCCGTTTCCTTCTGATCGTGGGAGCATCCACAGCGCTTGAACGACAACCAATTGGATGTGGGAGAATGTAAGCCGTAGAATCCGAACCACCACGCAAGAAAACCTCTCTCATTGAGGAAGGAGGAAGTGGAGAGCTTGGCAATGAGGTCAATTCAACACCAACGTCATCTGCAGGAAGTAAAACAGGGGGAGGAGATTCCTTTCCTTCCATAAGTTCATCTAGTGCTAATAAAGCGATCCTTCGGATGTTTGTACGAGCCTCAGATCCAGATAAATTGTTCACTAGGAGTGTTGGAGTGATTGAATGCTTTGGAGGCACAACAACAGATGTCGAATGAACTGAATCAAATGCTGCCATGTATTCAGCAAGGAGAGATGTCGAACCCCTTCCGCGTCCTCGTTTTCCAAGGCTTCCGCTTCCAGCTTTATCCAGGTTCCCATCAAAACCACTTTGAAGAGGTTTGGGCAATTTTGGTGGAGTAGCTTTGAGTAAAAGTCGATAATTTTTACCATGAAGGAGTTGTTTGATAGCGTCGCGTAAGGAACTCACAGAAATCCCCATTGAATGTGCCATGAAAGCAATTTCTCGCTCCAAATTTAATAAACCATTCGATGGAGCAGAGGATAACTTGTTTTTAGCGGCAATCTCACTAAACAAATCCACAAAAATGTGATTATTTTCCTGAATAAATGAGGTTGTCTGAATATCCAATGGAGGTGGATCTTTCGAATCAATGTAGGGCTTATCTGTCTCAGCGTCAAGATGCAACGGTAATTCCAATTCGGAAATGAGGCGATGATGGGGGAAGAGCTCATTAGCAGCATGGCGAAGATGATCAGTGAGCGAAGTGACCAGAGTTGTTAGTGTGGGTGCATTAGTATTAATTGCAAATAGTGGTTGCTGGGGAGGAGAAAAGTAGGCTTCCAGAATGTTTGGCTCGTCGCGAAGAATTACATTCAGTGCATTCAAGGCCCAAGTTGTCTCAGCCGGTAAACCCGACTTTAACGCCATCACCAGTTTAGTTGCAGTCAGATTTCCTGAAAAAGTGAGATATTAATTACAAAGGTGGAGAGGGTATATTGTCATTCGAAAAAGACACTTACCTAAGTCCTTTATCCTATGTCGCTTTCGACGGCTAGTATCGATTTGTGTGGCTTCAACACAACCAGGCGGGAATAGTTGAGCGACTTCGAGGCGTCTCCAGTAGGCAGCATTTGGATTCGGAACATAGGCGGGACCAGGACGCTTAAAGGAATAATACAATAAAGTGAAATCTCAAGTGTGAAACCACCAAGTGACAGATTTGTGAAAAGGAAACAGACTTGCTATTATCACGAAAAATTACCCTCCAACTCTAAATTAGCTGACTTACGAGATGTCACAAATTGCTCTACCCTTCGTCGGTTAACAAAAAAACAGCATGAGGATAAAAAATGTTTACTTATTTTTGATTCACAACGAAGTAGAGGCTTTAAGCGTTGGATAGTTTAGGGAGAAGAAAAGAACCGAGAGAAATTAACCTTTTCCTATTGTAAATCTTACAGACTCATTTTATATTTACTATTAACTCGTGTTATGTCCTATTTCAATGAGAAATGACTGTTAAAACACGCCTTATCTGAATATCATTCTCGCTTACTGAAAGAAATGTTAGGAAAGACGTGGGAATGGTTTGATTGGCATAAAGTATCAAAAGCCGATACAATCAAACTTGTATTTCTGCGTATCTATGAGGGTACGTGACTTAATGTAAACGAAGAGAATCCTCAATCGATAAATACTTTCAGTCCAGAAGAATTCCACTTCTAAATAAATGGTTTAAACGGAGAACTAAACAACCATCGATAAGTAGGTGAAGGGTCTCAAAAATTCCGAAAACGAAATCATTAAATTCTAAAATTAACAACTCAATTACAAAACTCAATAGTTAAAGCTAAACACCCCTTACTTCATATAATGTACAGTATGAGACCTTATAAATTATAAACTCTTTCATTTCAATGAAAACGCCAATTCAACTTAAGGAGGAGATAGCGTAAAGCATAGTCTTAGAGGAAAACTACGCTAAAACAATCAATCTTATGAGTATAGCCATTATTACACTTTTATTTTGATTATCTACTCTCTGCGACTTAAGAGCAATACACATACTAACTCCCCTTTAGGTATTTTAAAGAGTGGGGGTTCAAATACTTTTGGTGAGCGTGATTAAAAGTTCTCTAGTTCACTCTATGTGAATGCGAACACGGGCAACCTCGTAAGGCATTTTCCAATTTGCCATACGTGCGCAGCCTTTGCTAGCTAGCATAGCAAGCAGAATACGCAAGAAAGATTACGCGCTAACACCCCGCACAAATACGTGCACACATGCAAATGACCAATGAGAGTGAAACAAGAACGCGTAGGAAGAGAATGAATGGTGAGTCACCTGGCAGCCGCATATTGGTTGGTGCAGAATTAGCCAATGAACATAAGGGAATACGCACCCATTTGGCCGACCACCCCAAATACACGCGTTGTGTTAAGGTAGAACCAATCAGATTGGGCCAAGGAGTGAGAGCCAATGAAAGGAGAGGAAGGTAGAATTCCATCCAAATGCCTGCCGTTTGCTAACTTATGTTAGGAAGGCGAAAATATCTCAACGAGTGGAGGGCAAGATTCGAATAGGGCTGAGCGTATACCACCAATACCGTTATTAATAAAATAAGATGGGGTGCAGTACCAAAGAGCCCTTCTCCTGCCTAATTCGAAATGAACGTTATTCTGTGCATATGGATAAGATAAACCAACTAGCGACAGTGTTTATCGCTTTTTAGCGATGTCATTAAATGTTTGTGCACGTTTCCTGTTTGCTGATAGAAAAATTTGGTGATTAGAACACACAGAAATTATTTACAAGTGAAGTCAAATTGGAAGTCCTGCAAGTAGTCAAGAGTATAAACAGTGGGAAAGAAATTGACAGTTGATTAGGCTCGATGGTACGAAAACTCTCAGTTTATGAAAATTAACTTTTACGTGCAATAAGGAGCGGAACAACCTAGGCATATTTACTAATATTCCTCATGGCAAAACACCCAATATGAACGATTTATCACGTTAGGAAAGGATATAAAACACTTCATGCAGGTCGGATGGCACCACTGAATGAAGTCAGGATGTCAAGGGTTTCAATTAATTTGAATTCTATCTAAATTCGCCGATGTTAAGTTATTATCCGTGTTATACAAAGTTTATTAAAGAAAAAGATCGAGAAGGCTATCAGAAGAGTTCATTCCAAGTGGAACTTTAGACGAACACTGTGATTTTAAACGAAGTAAAATAATTTGAGCAACAGCATTCCGAATTGAGAAATGTATCTGGGTCAAATTCTTCGCTCGATTACCCTCAAAGCTTAATTCAAATACCAAAGGCAAAATGTTGTGTCAAGTTTAGGAGAAAAATAATCATCTAGGTTGAAAAAGTATCAATTAAACATAAGCTTCGTAGGATTCCTGCTAAATTAAAATGGAATATCAAGTCACACAGAAGTTAGAGTTAGCCTTGATTAGAAAGTGAGAAATCTCAAACTTTAACCATGAACCAAGAAAGAATTCAACTTCAAATTGTTTTTGTAATAGACACGTGATTTTAAGTAAAAACCGCTCCTAAACATGCATTAATAGTCTGTAAGATTCATTTTACAGGTCATAAATATTAAAAGGAGAGAATAAATATAAATCACCTTCAAATCACAGCTCAAACTAAATTCTTGTCAATCCGAAATCAAGTACAGTAGTACCAGAGAAGTCAGTCAGAAGTCAGCTAGACACAATACTAGCCTAGATGACTATAACGTAAAATATAGCGCATTTGAAGTCAATTCTGGCTAATACTGAATGGTCACCGCCCTAGTAGATATGAACATTGCGAAAGTAAATAACAAACTGTGTTATGCATTTTAAAATGGAAATAATATAATTTATCCTAACTTGGCCATCAGCTAGAAGATTCATTTCACAATCTCACCTGTTGAGGCATCATTCCGGGATGCGGAGAAGGGATATGAGGTTGACTTTGAGTCTGTTGCGGTGGCACCAAGGGTCCACCTGAAGGAGGTCCAGAAGAATAATGATGCAGCCTGGGAGGGGCCTGGTGCTGTTGATTTGGTGGCTGAGCCTGTTGTTGTGGTGGGAGTTGCTGCTGCTGTGGAGGCACGAGAGCAGTGTTTGGTGGGGGCTGAGGAGTAAATCCGGACCCCCCAGGATATCCTCCAGTATTAAAAGGTGGCATTGGATGTCTTGGAGGTATTCCCGAAGGTGGTCGAGGCTGATAGTGGGCAGTGAATGAAGGAGGTGGTTGTGGAGGCTGTTGATTTCCCTGTTGTTGCCCCATTCCGCCCATATAGGGTTGAGGCCTTTGATGGTATCCCATAGTTGGAGCTTGTGGAGGATGGTGAACGGTATTGCCTCCTGGAGTTAGCATTTGGGAAGGTTTTGGGGGCATATCGGCAGGACCGGTCATCTCAGGTCGCATTCCCTCCATTGCAGCCATCAAATGGCCTCCTGTTGTAGGCCGAGAATAGGGTGGGGTTACCTGCGGATAGGGATGGCGACCACCAACCATTTCACTCCCGTAACCCTCTGTTAGATACAGGAAAGATCTTAGTAAATAACACGATTATTTAAGATTCACATGAATAATTGTACAACTGAAATTATCGGAATTGGCTTGTCTATTATCATTTCGGGGAAATCTTGAGGGCGAAAAGAAAATAGCCTCGTCAATAACCTCTGGACACCCTAAACATGAATTCAAAAAGGAGCAAGATATACGAATGAAAATTTGGAAATTAGAACATGAGATACCGAATCATACCCTAGAATTCAATGTATAAAATTCAAACACCTTCCACTAACCCAGATTGACGGACAACTTTAGTTTTCAGTCATTCTGCCAAGATGAAGAATTTCAATTTTGTTACCATTGTCGTTAGTATGAAATAAATGAACGTTACTAGAGAAACTATTAATGAGTGAAAAGGCTAGGAGACACTATTAAAAAGAATAAAAGGTAAACAATGACAAAGGTAGTTAGGTCGAACTTTATTGGAAGAAAGTTAGTAAAACAAAACACAAATTAGAAAACATCCAACTATTAAACCGAACAATTAATGAGAGCATTATTAATAACAACAAGGCCTTAAAATTTTAATTTTATGACCTATACATGAGGCGATAAAGGTTCCTAAAGGATAGATGTCCAATAAGCAATTCTGGCCTGGAAAACCTTGGCTTTTCCTTCAGCTACAAGCCTTTTGAAAAGCTACTGGTATAAAGCCCATCGATAGATAGTAGAGCTTATTCAAGAAATCACTTTCTTAGAATATAAATAATTGAGTGTAAACGAGATAGTTTCACAATTATGAAGACATTCGTTATTCTAATTCTAAAAATGGGACTGCAGACTTTTGAAGGAAATCTTAGGCCAATTAATATACTATCCTTCCACCCAGGCTTAAAAATAGCAAAATTAATAATTGGGCAACTTAATAACAAATGAATAACGCCTTGAGGCCAAAATTCTAGAAAATTACCACCAACGACTCATCTAAACACTTTCAATCATCCCGTTTACTGATGGCATGTCAATCTCAACTTCTAGTGTTGCAGAAAGAAGCTACATAACAATTAAACCCTAAACTATTGTACTTTGAACTATTATGCAAGGTACACACTTCTCCCAAACAGTGCTAATCAAATCAAGATTAAATCACCTGGGATGCTTAAACGTCATAGACATGCAGACATCAAGATTTGGCAATAGTTGTCTACCCATCCTTACTACGATCAAACTCATAAGTGTTATGAAAACAAGTACGATTAGGGTTATCTAAAGTTTATACTTTTCAACAGAGTGCAAAACAAAGTGTGACACCTCGTAGAATATTGTCTAGACACAGTCGGAATAGTAACAACTATTACTGATATAAAGGTGCATTCCCGTCGAAAGACGAAATGGGCAGACACTTACGTCCAGGCATTCGTGACTGCTGGGGATACCCAGGAGGTGCAGGAGTAAATGGTGGACGTTGGTTCTGTCCCATCAATTGTGATGAAGGTGGTCTCCAAGGCGGTACACCACCACTCACAGGAGGTTGACTAGGTGGGAGCGATCCAAGGGGAGGTACAGGGTATCCTCCAGGTGATTGTTGTTGCTGTTGTTCCACAGGCTGATGTGGGGCTGATGGTGGCTGGGGGTAAGGGGACGCAGCTGCTGATGAAGGAGCAGGAGACATCCCACTACCGGGACCCCCTCCTAGAGGAGATAAAGCAGATTTACCAGCTCCATCCTCAACTGGACAAGCAGTAGAACCCCCTTGATGTGAAACACTGCCTCCATTGCTAGGTGGCTGCTGAACTGTAGGTGGCATTAAGTTTGACGACGCTGAAGACTGGCTTCCAACAGGTGAAGGCGGGGGAAAAGGTGTTGAACTCGAAGTAGACGATTCATTCATTTCTGATCCACCGATTGATCCAACAGAAGTCTTCTTTTTCTTTCCAGAGAGTGTATCGATTTGAGCTGAAACAACACGAACATCTACTCCACCCGGACCATGATCAAATCGACACTCGTAGTCCAGCAGATATTTGCAGTAATTCTTTCGAAGAGTATAAGCGGCAGATGCGGAGGCGTTTATGTTGAATAATTGGCTAATCTCCTTCCACCTCTTAGTTTTAATAACTTCCAGTACACCGCCACGCTCTCGAACTGCTTGATAGAATCGATAGAGATCGAGTGGCTGCTTGACAACTTGTGGCAGGCCAGTAAGGGGCTTCTCAATGGATTCCATGAAAAAGAAATAATGCTCAAGCCATTGACGTCTTTCCTGTTCAAAACCCATTTCCATAAGTCGTGAAAAACATGAGGCTGACTGAGGACTCAGATTAGGAGGGGGCTGAGCCATAGGGTGAGTCGATGGTGGCTGTTGATTAGGTGGAGCAGACTGATTTGGTGGATAACCCCCTCTACTTAGGGGGTACTGAGGAGGATACTGGTGACTTCCATAATGAGGGGGTTGATGCTGATACATTGGGGGCATTTCACCAGGATAGGAAGCCTGTTGCTGTTGGTAAGGTGGAAAGTTTGGAGGAGAGTAACCAGAAGGGGGAGGATAGTTACAAGCACCAACAGCCCCAGGATGAGGTCCCCTAAGTGGCATTCGAGTGGGGGGACAAGGATGACGATACATATTCTGCATCTGATGCTGCATCATGTATTGATGATGCTGAGATGGTACTGGAGTATTTTGTTGTTGTGGTGGGGCCTGTTGAGTAGCTGGTTGTGGTTGCTGTGATGAATCCTCGTCCTTTTTCGGTGAATTTGGGGGCCCAGTTCGGGCGGATGAAGACGAAGATGGACGTGGTGGCATGCCTTGTTCTCCAGCACTACTTTGATCACCGGAACAAGATACCCTCGAATCATCTACAATGAAGTTAAGGTGACCATAATAAATTGACTGTCCGTTGGTGAGCACATATGGCTTCAATTTGAGAAAGATTTGAATTTGGGGTTGATTTTCAAATTTCAGCTGCTAGCTCAGCATTAGCCACCTTCGTAATTGATCGAATGTTGGTCTTCACTGTAGTCTATTAATTTTAACCAGTTACAGGTTGAATACGAACCAAATCTTCCAAGATTTATTTGGCAAATCAACACATGTTCCCCGTTCGATAATGTTAACTGTCGTCATATATATTCACTTCTTCTCTTAACAGTTTGAAGTTTATTATTTTAATGCATACAACTAGCTTTGTAAATTAAGATAGTTGGGTTCGTCTAGTTGATTGTCAATGTCAAAGGCTTCCTTTGGACCCTATTGAAAGAGATTTTAACACAAAAGGACTAGATGGACGTTGAATATACCAAGCCAGTTAAAACTTGGTTTTCGCAGTTTATAACTCCGCAAAGGCTTACAGGCCGTATTCTTAACAATTCTCTTCATTATTTGGATTAAGGATAAGGATAGCACATAGAACCATTCAACCCAGGTTAGGTATCGAAAGTTTCATTTGATTTCTCAGGAATGATTTCAATTATCAAGGGTTTGGAGATTAAGAAAATAACAAGAAACAACAGAAAATAGAGATGAAATGACACAAAAACGAAGAACTATTATCTAATCCTAGCTTTCTGCAAAAAATTGACAGATACAAGTCAAACACCAAATTCAAAGGAGACTTTCCATAAAAATTTCAGAACTCCATATTGAGTATTTTTGACGATAATCACCATTTAGTTACTACGTGCTTAAGAACTGTCCATAATACAACGTAAAAAATGCAGCGTAAGCAAAAGAACTGTCAACAGTTAACAGAAGATCTTTAAGAAAGATAAAAACCCTATTTTCCAAATTAATAAACCAGCCTTCAACAGCTTGATGTAATTTTTTTTATAATTCACAAGGTAAGAATGAGAACATTGGCACCTAAGCCTTGCCAACTTTTGCCATTTTCTATATATTCACATTAAACAATACTTCAAGAGGAAACTTTCCTGTGACATATCTAAAACACTTCGAATCAGCTATTTACAAAATCTTTATCTGTTTTAATCGCATAAAGCCAATCATAAAACCTTTAAAACAACAACTAAGAATAAAGATATTACACAATAGAATTGGAGTTGTTGATCTCAAAGTTTAAAGGTTGTCTATTTGGAACCAGATATCCTGCTAATTCAAGAAATAGATCCAAAAATGCATATCTTAGAATTATAACTCGGGATGCTTAAAAAAATCCAGCATACTTTATGTTCAATGGAGAACAAAAACAAAGAAAAATAAAGAAAATTGAAACAAAATACAAACCTCTGGTTTCAGGCCTATTTGACTGAGGTTGCTGAGAAGAAAGGGTTGGGAAAACGACAGGAGATTGATCCTGTTGTTGTTGAGTTGAAAGAACATGAGTAGGTGGTTGAGGCATGACGCCACCATGATCTGGAGGATGAGGATACCGCATATGAGTTTGTGTTGGTCCCCTAGGAGGGGTTGGTGATGCTCCGTTGGCCATTGGAGGAGGACCAGAAGGATAGGGGCCCCGACCAAACATGTCTTGCTGTGGTTGATAAGATGGTCTCTGAGGCGGGTAATTCGATGGATGATCTGGTTGCATCATATTTGTAGGATAAGAGGGCCACATCTTCTGTGAATACTCAGAGGAAGGATAACCGGCGTTCGGGGGAGGTGGTGGGGGCATCATTGAGTAACAACTTCCAGGATTTGAATAACGAGATTGCTGAGGTGGGGGGTACCTCTGCATTGGAGGATAAGGTCCTCCATAGGGATCTTGGTTATACTCAGGCGGATAACCAGGGCGTGGAGGAAAGTTGCCTGGAGGTCGAATAGACATGCCACCTTGTTGAGGTGGGTAATTAGGGGGTAATGGAGAGGGTCCGCCTTGGGGCTGTTGCTGTGGTGCTGTTCTATTTGGTTGAGCTTTGGAAGGCGGACATGTCGAGGACGAATCCATCTGCTGATCTGATGCCGTTGAAGTACCGCCTTCTTGTGGGGTATTAGCACGTGAAGATCGTAGCATATTCTCCTGAGTAGATGTCAGATCCTACACATAAGCAAAAGATTGCAGAACTAAACTCGTGAATTTAATAACAGCGCGCATTTTGGGAATATCAAAAGTATATGAAACCCATTGGCTAATCCAAATTCACCGCCGAATAATAAACCAATCAAATTGTCTTAAATACGATTTTAAATCACATGAAAGTAAATTTCGTGCTATTAATCAAACTACCCAATTAAAAATTTTACGTAAAATCGTCACAGTAAGCCTTACAATATTTTTGTAAAAAATTCTGATCTCTGACCTTCAACATCTAACCTAACAGTTAATGCTAATTTTAGAAATATTTACCGCATTTCCATCTTGCTGTTGGCCAGATTTTGGCATATATCCATAGGGATCATATCTATATCCACTGGGTTGGCCCATCGGTGACATTGCTGCTGGAGCAAGATTTGACTGGGGACCAGGGGAATTATTTTGGAGAAGTAATTGATTTAATGTCAAGGTCTGTCCATGACTTGGCTGGCTGACAGACACATTTGGGGCTGGCATATCCGAAGCACATTCCTGACTTGGATAGCCTTGATATGGATGACCACGAAATTGATTCGAACACTCCGAAGCGAACTGGGATCCATTAGAGGGAGGTGTTGGTTGGGAGGGATTTGTCATATAACCCTGTTGGGTGCTCATTGAGCCGTTTTGATTATTTTGGAAGCTCATGCCATATATCCAAGATTTAGAAGCACATTAAAATTCAGGGAAAACGATAATCCATTCGCTGCTCACTAATGAAATGTTTTGGAAATTAAAAAATATTTCCTCTAATTGAACCGTTGCTCAAGGTATCAGGTTAGAGTCCGTACTATATTTAATAAGCCAGGCATATGGTAAAGCGTGGCATTACTGCTACGACACACGTGATAAACTAAAACGACGGCACAGTGAATACGACTAGTTTCTCGTTCGAGGGTTCATACACGGTACGGGGCTATTTGAAACAGTTAGATAGCTTAGTTGCAGGGACCAACAGCCTGTCAGAAGTCCGCCTGCGGACAAATAACACAGATATAGCGCATTTCAATAAGTTGACTCATAAATACCCTTAATTTTGATATCATTCGATAGAAAATTAAATTTTACACGTAAAAACAAAAACATTTTATTGATTTACACTTTATTGATTTTATTATATTAAAATATAGAAAATATGGCTTCATTGTATAGTTAGATTAGAAAAATTTGTCTGGCACAAATACGCTATCAGTGAGCAAACGCGGTCATTCATCTTGCGTAGTTCGTTTTGTTTAACTAGTGATTTTCTTAAATATCTTCTAAGTAAATTAACTAATTTCAAATTTAATTTTAAAATACTATTTAGTTTGTTAAATTAAACAAAATTGTATAAAATAAGAGGGATTGAACATTTAGTTAAGCCGAAATTGTAATATAAATTTCATTTTCCGTTTTTAGTCTCACGTCTCTCGACACAAACCAATAGTCGATTGAATCCATAGCGGAGGCTTATCGGTGTTGGTGTGGTGCGTCCCGTCTAGCGTGAATCAGCCCTATGTGCCTATCATACAATACTACTGTGAAGGTATAGAGATAGGCCAGAGGGAATCCTCTTTACTCTCGCTAACGCAGCTATCCCACCAGCGCGACATGAGTGGCTAGGCCTTTGAAATCTCTACATCCTACTAGTTAATGTTTCTTATAAGTAGGCAGTAAATAGGCAGTAGGTTAGTCTCCTTTGCCCACTTACCTTGCCCTGTGCACTTGGCTTTTACGCTTACTGAAGTTAGTCTATTGATTAATCGATCCACAAGTACAAATAAACGTCTCAACAACTGTGGTTCATTTAAAAATTATTCTTGTACTTTGGAGGATAATATAGGTAATTTATACGATAAAGCGAAATATGGATTTAACACAATAAATTAAAATTACTTTAATGTCACCTATTTACTTGGTCGAGCGCAAGGTCAAGCGTAGTAGATCACTTGACTATTGAAAAGTTCACCTCAATGTGAGTGGATTTTTTGATTTTCAAGGTAGTTGTAGGTCCTTTGGCAGGTTTAATGCATGTAGAGATGTAGAAGTCATTTTTGATAAGATGGATTGCAGTACGCTCTTCTCATATACAGAGGAGTGGATTTTACGGCTCAACTACGCTAGTTTCTATTAGAATTTTTTCTTAAAATAAATTGAAAAATATAAGAATGTGGTAAATATATTGATGAGTGAATGAATTGTATAGTTATTTCCATTTTCAAAAACCTAGAAGAAGTGGCGTTTGACGGACAACTATAGACCCAAATGTAGTGCCTTCTAGTGCTACCAAATTTTTCAAGCTCTTTATATCGACCAAAGATTATTTTTGGGAAAACTGCAGTGGGAAAATCGATTGATTTCAGTGTTTTCCCACAATATATATATATATATATATATATATATATATATATATATATATATATATATATATATATATGCATGTATGTATATGTCCAGCTTATGTTACATCATGGGGTCCTAGAATTATGAAAGAAATAATTTTTCTTTTAGTTCAAATGTCATTTGATTGCAGTAACCATACTTCCAATGATTGACATTCAATTCAGTATTAGGCGAACATTTTAGCTGCATTAAAAATAGAAAAATTTTTATGAAATTTACATTTGTAGTCAGGTGCAATTTAGCCCCTCTGAGAAAATGAACATTCACTTCTTCCTTAACCCCGTCCTCCCCACCTATACTCCAAAAACAAATACTAAGGAATGACGCTTTCTAATAAGTCAATAATTAGTTTTAATATTTCTGTTAGTTTAAATTTTTAAAAATTGTGGACGTAATTATAAATTGCCTATTTTTCAATGATAAATGGCAAGTGCAATTTTGAATATGGGCACTTTTGTGATGCAATACAATTACAACAGTTTGTGATTAAACAAATTTCTATATCGCTAGGGTTTTTTAATTAATCTCTGAGACCTAAAAGTTGTTATCGCCGTGCGGCGAGTCATATGCTGTGTCAAACCAATAGCAATTTATAACGATATTTTAATTCTACTACTAGCTACAATTAAGTAGCTGCAAAGTCGCATTTCCATTATTAATGGTGACGTGGTGGAAGTATAGTGACCTATTTTGGAATTATCGTCAAATTAATAGACTGATAGGTCCAAAATCGAGTTGAGATGCAATTCATTATTTTCGGTTTCTCCCCTTCTGAACCAACGATTTCTTTGAATAGACTGAAAGAAAAGCCCGTCACAACAGTAATTATATAATGAAAAATTGAACTTCATGTTTGAGTAAGTATTGTATTCTCAGTCTTGTACTTCCAAAATTCTTCCATTCTCTGCTGCACTTTGCACGCCTTACGAAAAAGCAAGAGAAATATCAGTTTGAGTCTGTTACAAACTGCTAATTAGAACGCCCTCAATACCAAGCAACCTATTGTAAGAGCTGGGTGACTGAACACCTAATCGCCCGATATTGGAATTTTTTATCACCTCCAATCTACCCCAAAAAAAACTTGGATGGTAATAAAGCACTAATTTTCATGTTATTAATGGAAGGGGTTATCATTTGTAAGTCCGTTTTATACAGTTTTGACAATAAGCATATATAAAATGAGACCATCTGAGACATACGCTGTGTCCTAAAGTTTTTTGGCCCGGATATATAAACAGCGTCTTTTCATAAACCGTTGCAAATAAATTGAGCGAAATGCTCAAACATTAACAAAAGTCGCACAAATTGCTTCGAAATGGATCGAAAACGAATTGAAAAGATTAAGTATAGAAGCAAAATTCAAATTCGGAGAGGCAAAGTTTTCCCATGTAACCTTCCCATATATGTACTCATTGTCCCATAATGGGAATTTACGATATTTTGACAGTGTTGCTGACACTATGGTAATTAGTTGGACCGAATGTATTAGTGTTTAAGTTGTCTTCATTGGAGTATAGGAGATAAGCGGGTCCCCAATGAGTAAGTTGTTTCTATGTCGTTATGAGCGCTTAAGGAAACTTACGAACAGCCAATTATATTAACTTTTTCCTTCCATGCATCGATCTACTAAACATATGATTAATCCTCAGCCGATGTCAGGCCAGATATTTTGTTTGGGGGTTGTGGTGGGGGGGGGGGGGGGGGAACAAAATTAGACAAAGCAAAATTATGTTAATCGCGTTAAGGAGCAAATGAGATCAAGAGAGTGCAGAGACCTCTCGCCCAATCCTTGATTAATATCCATTGCAGTATTTATTGATTAAGGTTCATGCAAATATTGCCCTAATGCGGACGAACACACACACACACACACACACACACACACATCTCCATGCGCGCAACCTAAATAAACCTACTCCATGTCACAAGTCTGCTTCCACTAATATCGTTGAGACAGGTTAGCTAATTAAAGAAGCCATTCCTAACTAGGAAACTATGAGATATAGATTACTGTGTATATGTCAAGGCTTATTCGTGTGACAAGTAGCAACAAGTTGATGGAATAGGCACTCAAGGGAGCTAAAGACAGTTTTCTGGAATGCTACAAGTATTACCTCAAAAGCTGAACCTCTCTTTAGCTCCCGAAGATTTTACTTTTCTATATGAAGCAATGAAATGCTTTATAGTTAAGCAGTGAAATGCTCCAATTAAAAATGGAACTTAGGAGAATTGTCGTTGAGCCCAAATCAGAAGAGAGGCTTCACTGTAGTCTTTAAAAAATTAGGTATTAACGATCTGCACCCTTAAAAGGAATTTAAATTTATCGCAAATTAACAAATATAATTTTATTGCACTTTTAGGCCGTAAGCTCAAGGGTCTGAAAATGGATTGTTGGTTTATCGGAAATTGATTCAGTTGCGGCCAAAATTCTATTTGGGGATCACAACAATAGGATCAAGAACTAGAACAAGTTTGATCCCTTTCTATAACATTGAGATACCCATGTTAAACGGTTGGTGTACGTAGACAGTTTATTAACTGATACGATAACAAAAAGCACGAATTAACATTTGCATATGATTTTCATATTTTCAAGAAATTAAAAATAAAATAATATTTGAAAGAAGAATGATTTAGCTAAACTATAGTAGTTATCATTAGCACTTATCTGACTTCGAGCTTCACAGAGGGGAGGAACATAAAAGTGTAATGGGGAAAGGAAGAGTGATTTACGAATGTAAAAGAGGCAGCCACAAAAGTAGAGAGTAGGGTAAGGTGAGTACTGTGAAAGTGGTCGAAATTGACATGCAGTCTTGTAATGGTAGTTTGAAGTCAGAAGTCAACTGTCGGCATATAGACTTTTGCCGAATGAGTATACTTTGCCCACAGTGAACCTATTGAAGTTAAGTCTATCGCGCACTCCGAAACAAGAATTATAAATTTCAAGTCCAGAAACATCACGAAACAGTTGATTTTGAGATGCTAATTTGATTAAATTGATTTCACAACGCTTCTTCACTCTCATAGACAGTTTCTTGTGAAAAATGATTTGTTCGAATATAGTCTCATTGACACAAAGTTAACCCACGCCTAACTAATGAAGATTAGTGAAAATATTTTAAATAGAAAAACGTTTTCGGTCCCTTATATATCATTGGAAAGCAATTCATGTACTGAATTGAATTAAGTCAAGTCTAGCCTTGAATTAATTCCTACAATTTTAATTGGCAAACCTAGCATTGACAATTGAAGAGGAAAACGCAATAATTATTTACTTCAATTTTACATAAATAAGTACTCATGGTTAACAAAGTCATGACCCTTATATAATGCAAAAAGGGGAAATACTGAAAAGTCTTCAAAGCGTTAAAATAAAAGCAAGCGAAATAACCAACGTGTTTGATGACAAATCCAAATTTAACACTAGGTAATAAAGATGACAAAATTTACTAGTAATTAATGCATTTAAAACCAAACTTATTAGACAATAAATCATATTTCTTTAAATTTAAAATGTCATTTATTAACGTTTGGGGCATTATTTTAGTAATAAAGTCACGACTTTATTTGTTTTAATAGTTTTAATTGTGAGGCGATTATTCAAAGTAATCTTGTGCCCGCATCGTTTTTTTTGCATTTTTCCGATTGAACTATGGATGATAAGGAGTTAAGGGAGATTTCTCGGGATCCAAGGTTTGCGGGTCGATTGAAAAAGAAAACAAGGAAGGAAAAGGAGGCTCACAAGAGTTTGTTTGAAGGCATAGAGGAAGAGGAGACGTTCAAGGACAAGCGTGGTAAACCATGGTCTCGTAAACCTCTGAGATATGCCAAGCAACTTCTTGAAAAAGAGAAAGAAGATGAAAGTGAGGGAGAAACTGAAGAATACGATGCTGATGAATCAGATGAGTCATCAAGTAGTGACTCTGATTCGTATGAAGAAGATAATGAATTTGATCCTGAGGAAAAGCTAATTGACCTCCAAGGTAAATTTGGCTTCCTTTTCTGACGTTTTCTATTGTCTTTCTAGATGCCGACTGGTTTGAGCTGGTAAAGGATGCTGAGCCTACCGAAGAAGAGACTAAACGACTTGCAGTTCTTCATTTTGATTGGGATAATTCAAATGCCCAAACGATTTTCTTGGCCCTTGAATCTTTTCTTCCTCCTGGATCCACTTTAGACAAAGTCACTGTGAGCTACTTTTACTTTATACTCTTTATTATTTTGTCCGTGTTGTGTGTGTGTGATTCAATCCTTCTTATTTCTTTGCATGCTTGATTTCTTGCTCTCACTTTACTTAGCTTATTCAATATCTTTTCTAAACTTAGAGCTTATGCTTGGGCTGTGAGTCCTTATAGTAATTTTCAATAACTAAAACCTCATGGATTACCCATAGACCCTATGTTTTAATTGGGTGTGTTTATTGCGTTGTGCACTTTGTAAATAAGGGCGATGTTGTTCATGAATGAATTCAAGGTATTTTTAGTTCGGATTGTTCAATCTGGAAGGAAATTTCAAGTATTTTTGCTGTCAATTATTCTATTTCCACCTTTGGCAAGGTGCTTACATTCAATCGTGATATCTCATTTCGTCTTTCCTTCCTTAATCAAAATATTTATTTTATATCGCATTCCGTTCTGATTAAGTTTGAAACGACTTCTTCCAGTCTCTGCATTCACTTTGGACTTTTGCTGAATATAGACACGCATTTTTACATTTATACATGATTTATCAGTTTGTTATTTTTTCGCTTAATTTTCTACTTCCAAGTGATTGAATTTTTTCGATATATATTGTGTTTCTACATGATCGGCGTTAGCTATAGATTTCTAGACTGAATATCAGTTATGGATTAAGCTTATATAGGCTTAAAGCTCTCTTTGGGAACCCAGTCAACTTACGTTCTTAAATATTCCCTTCCATGGGAACGAAATTTTCAAGAAAGGAAAAAAATTGCAGATTAAGAAGCTGAAAGTGTAAGCGCAAGCGTCATCGTGAATACCGAACAAGTTTACGCAACGTTGACTAGACCCGTTCTTTTTTTAGAATGTGGAACCATTTAACTCGCCATCAGACAGAGCGGAATTAATGTCTCTTATTCCTCATTTTTGCTTTGAATATATGCCCACATTGGGTTGTTAAATCAAGTTGCAAAAACGAACATTTGATGAAAATTTCTACACATATTTTCGTGACTAGTAGTACTTATAATGTTGAAGAACTCGAAATTCTGACGTTTAATTCTTCGTAGCCTTTTTTTGCTATTATTGGCTATTTCATTACAAAAACCTAAAAGTGGAATCCGTGAAAAGTACAGAAACTGTTATGTATGAAGCCAGTTCTTATTGGTTCATACTGGAAAATTTTTGTCCTCTGCTTCCTTACAGGCAACATGATCTGACTCCCGGATTTATAGGTGAGACCTTGTTCAAGGTATTCGGACGCTTGTTGCAAAAGAAGAGATTTTAAGAACTGCTTTAGTTGCTACAAAGATGCTTTTATCAATTTGTTACTGCTCTTTCGCTTCAGATTTACCCCTCTGAGTATGGTATGAAGAAGATGGAGGAAGAAGAAAGACATGGCCCAAAGGACATTTGGGAAGGCAGCGATGTTGAAAAAGAAGACCAGGAGGATGAAGCAGAAGTCAACAGAAATCCATCTGAAATGGACGCTGATGAGAAGAAAGCTTGGTCTGCTACCTCAATTAAAACGCGACGTCGCCTGCGTCAATATCAACTTCAGCGTCTTAAGTACTACTATGCAATCGCTGAATTCGATTCTAAGGAGACGGCAGCAGCTATCTACCAAGCATGCAACGATGTGGAATTCGCAGACACTGGTATTCGCTTCGATCTGCGTTTTGTTCCCGATGATATGAATTTCTCTGTAAGCTTATAGAAGCGCACTACTTTAATCGATTAAAAAGTAGTTAGAATTTTTGGACATTTGTTTCCATTGACATTCTAGGTACCGAATGAATGGGCGCATGCAGTGAGCGAGTGTTGCGAGGTGAATCGGGCTAAGTATAAGCCCCGTACCGTGGAAAATACTGCTTTACATTCAACACGAATTACTCTGAGTTGGGATCAAACACCTACTGCTAGGACACAGTGGCTTCGTGAACAGTTTGCGGAGGATGCTGACCCGAAAAAGCTCTTCTCTGAGGGCAAAGCTCAGGTCAGTCAGGTTATTATTTCGTTGGCAAATTTCCATCGTTTATATATTGAGTTTGGTAAAGAGTGAGGCTGTGTATTTGTCTGCCTTTTCAAATAGTAGGACACAGCATTTGGACTCAGATTAGTCAAATTCAAGTTTGCATATAGGTGCGACTGCAATTTCTCATCTCTTATGTATGTGTTTTTATTTTCTTTTTAGTTGAGTGAGTACGTGGCATTATCCTCGAGTGGTCAGAGCACAGCAGCACCTTCGGATGTAGACGAACCGGGTCCTGCTCCCACAGTGCCTCGAATCCACAAACACCGGCCTCGCAAAGTACCCCCAGAAGAACTCCGTGCCGCCCTTCTCTCTGCTCTCAAAACAAGGAGCGGGTCTGAATCTGTGGAGGATGAAGAAAAGGTCAGTGATTTACTTTAAACAATTTCGGCTTTTAATGCTTGGGGAATAGGGACATAGTCCAGCAGGCAGTTGAACAATTGGAGTTAAGTGCAGATTGTTAAAATGCAAAGTAAAGTGCATATCGAGTTGCGGTGTTCAAGAGCTTCAAGGCATCATACCTCTTTGTGTTACTCAGCTATCTGAGTGATTTTATGTCACCGATATTTAGAACCTATTAGTTTAATTAAATGGGTGGTCATGTCAATTTGTGTTCCATTTGTATTTCATTACAACATTGAGCATGTAATTGATAATAATGAAGGCATTTCATTATTATTTTGTCCACACAGCGAGTTATGATTCCAACCTCACGATCTGGCCCCTGTGAATAGTGTCTCGAGCTGAGTGACCCGTATTTTGATTGGACCACGTCTTGACTAAGATCACTTTATATTGTTCCCAGTTCATCTATTAGGGAAGACAAACGAGACATGCCTGTCAATAATAGGGCTCCAATCATGCCCGGTTCCATATGCTTCATTGTGGCAAGATCACTTGAAGATCACTAGCCTTTTTAGGGGGATATCTGCAATCCCAACTCAGTCGGATTATAAAAGTGGCTTTAATAGGGATTAGTGCAGCTTTAAGCTGTCTTTTTTTACGTTCAAATAATTTGTCTTTCTTATAGAAGTCCGATGCTGAAGGTGGGCATGAATCGAATGATACTGAAGACGAGGAAGTAGAAGAAGTATATGATCTCGGTGATTCAGAAGGTTCCAAAGGCGCAAATGATTCTTCCGAAGACGAGTCATATGACCTCACCACTACTGATGACAACGCGAACATGAAGAAGAGGTCCAAGAACTTGGCGCTTTCCAATGCTCTCGCCAAAGGTGGACGCAAGAGAGTATCGAAAAAGTATCTTCCTGAGGCTATTGATGAGGATTATTCAGATGATGACGACGACTCCAGTCTCGACTTTGATGACATGGACAGGGCGTCGGATGATGGTACAGAGGGGTTCACTGGTCGTGGAAAAAAGAGGCGATTTGTTGAAGAAGACAGCGATAATAATGAGGAATCGAAGGAAACAAAGAGAAAGAAGAAAAAACTTGCTATGGTAAGCGTTTTAAGTTATGAATTATGAATCGCTTTGACTCCTGTTTAATATTTATATTCTGCAATTTTAGCGCAGGAAGGTGCAGTTGAAGAAACAAAAGCAGGAGAAAAATCGGGAGAAATTGAAGGAACTGGTACGTTTATTATGTTTTAATGTCATTGAATAAAAGAGCCAATGAGGTGAATTTATGCATATTAAGAAGGGATTGGGTGTATGTGCTAATCGAATGGGTTGGGGCTATCAAGTTTTGACTCTGCTTTTCGTAACTTCTCTGCCCTCTCCGCGTTCACTGTGCTTTGGATCCTTTAGTGAGGGTCTTAGAATAATCCATTTGTTGAACAAGCTCTGGATCCAAAATAGTAACCCCCCCCCCCGCCCTCATTTGAAATCTGAATTCGTTGGATTATGTCCTTGTGTATCGGTGACGTTCACAGTTTGCTTATTCACAATTTGTTTCAGTTAATCTCATCCTCATTCTCATTCGTCTCTTTCGATAGGCAGTGGGAGTTATTTGAGTAAAGTTTTCCAAACATAGACAACTATGCAGTGAGTTCTAGCAAGTTAAAAAATCTTTCCTATTTGAATTCTCTAAGTCTTATTTCACATTAGCTATGCTCTGCACTTAAATGAAGACGGGAGAGCTTCTATTCACCGAATACTAGTTAAGGTAGTCCAGCTTCAGATGCTAAATTTCTTCTCGAATCAGCTAATCTGGAACTGGATTGTGAAATAAGCTGCAGGAGAACTCAAAGGTCTTTTCTTGAAACCAAATCTATTGTCTTGAAAACTAATCTCCAGGAGAAGGTATCATGAAGGTTTTAAGGTTTAACCTTGGCCCCAGATGTTACCTAGAAACAAATTGCACTCCCTATTTGATGGCTAGCTATTGAAGCCACGAGTCTTTATGCCCATGCATTTATGAGTAACATTGGTGATCGAGTGGATTTAGTACTCATTACGGTTTTATAATTAATTGGATTACATCAGGGTGCCATTATAACGATTTCATATGTCCATATAATTAAGTCGCACACGTTTTGCCATCCATCAAAACTTAAATGAAGCTGATGGACTTGTGCATTTTTCCAATAACAGTTTTCCAAGCATTCCCAAACAATATTTTAAACTATCTGCCTTTGTTGGCAATTTAATGCTGCCCTCTTTGTGGCTTTTTAGTGGACGGGTGAGAATGAGAACGATTCTCGATTTGATACCTTCCTGACAGACCCAACCTTCGGCGTGAGCCAGATGCACAAGGAGTACAAAGAAGCAGCGGAGTTCTTAAATTTCATGCGACGTCGTCGTGGACCGTTGTTGGCGTCAAAGAAGGGAGGTGATCAGGAAAAGGCTGCTTCATCAAACTCCCAATGATTGAACACCCCCTCCCCTCCCCACGTCTTTGTCTTTGTGCGTGTGTATATATATGTAATTTATCTTCGAGACACCCATTAAATTAAAAGATCAATGCAAGTGACATGGTGAAATCTATTCAGGAGGTCATGGGCTGGCGTCAAAGTAGCCTAATAAGGTGTGAAAACAAGGCGAGATTCGAGAAAAATTCGTTATTATAGCCAAGTAGATATTTTTTTTCAAAAGGCAGGCTTTATGATATTTATCATTAGCCCTTAAACTTTGACTTCAGCTTCCCCCAAGAGGGGGGGGGGTACATTTATAGCAGTTAATTAATAGCAGTTCATTAGCTGTCTTCTTGCTTCCCAGTATCTTTGGCTTTCCGTACTTGTCTTTAGGGCTGGACACCGAATCAGGTGGGTCTTCTCCATTTCCCCCTGTAGGTTACATAGGGGGCATGTGGGTTGAGTGTATACTCCCAATCTGTGAAGGTGTTTTGCCAGCCAAGTATATATCAAGAGGTTGGTTTTATTTCTATTTTAGTGGAACTGAGTCCGCGTTCTCAAAGGAGGTGTTGTGTGAGAAATTTCTAAAATTCATGAGTCAAATGATATCGTCGTTGTCAGGAGCTTGCTAACACAATAATTTGGTTCTTTGGTTGATTGCGCTTATTGCATTCAAGAGGAGGTAGTTGGCACGAACAATAATTGTTCGTCGTAGAAGAGTTCATCAAAGTGTGGAAAGAAGAATAGGAGAGAAGATCAGACCTTCGCTTTAGGATAATGGACACCTGTTTTGAAAACCACTCGACCGAGAATGTTTTGCAATACGGGACTTGCATTAAGTATCGTAACCACATCATATCATCCTCTATTTAAAACGGCGAAACAGGTAGGCTGAACAAAATCAAGTGAAGCATGGAATAGCTTATGTGCATAGAGCTACTCATAGTGCAGGCCACCATGCACGTTGATAGTGAATAGTAGGAAGTGAGCTAGCAATTACTGGTGTCTGGACTAACAGGGACGCTGACCAGATCAGCTCTACTCCAGACATGCTCTAACACAGTCTCCTGATTATCAGAGGAAAGTGACCATTGTTGAAGAAGTAGTATGTGGGTGGACCGAGAATGTGAGCAGATATCCTTCGAAATGGCTCCGAATTTTCCCAGCATCTTGGAATTTGCTTGAGTAGATCTCGGGAATTAGCTTCTTATTTGTGAATCTGCATGCTGGCATGTACTTCCTAATTGGTCGGCGTGATCGATAGCTTAATCAACCTCTAACGTGATTGGTAGATTAAAGAAGGCGAATTTTGGTAACCAATGCTGACCGAATGCAGCCCCCTCCACTCTATTTACGAAGAAATAAGAGATGGGAGATACCTTCAAACCGTATGATGAGGATAATCAGCTGGAAACGACTGGTCCGAAGATTGTCTAAAGCTTGTTATCAATTTCGTTGAGGTAACTGTTGAGGGGATCAGAAGTGGACATGTGCAACAGATGGGCCACGTAATTTGTGGTTCTTACTGCAGGTGATATACAAGAGAGAAAAATGGGGAAAAACGTGACTACTCGTTCTACTCCACTACTCTACATAACCAAGACTCAGGGATCAAATAACTTCGGCCTGATTTCACAAGTCATTCTAGTGGGATCAACCAAAGTCGTCCAGTTCACAAATTCAATAGCAAAATCATGGGATTCAACTTAGTGAATTCAATCGCTGATGGTGACTAGACCACTTTAGCTGGGATTCCGTCGAGTAGATATTTTTTGAAATGTCCTAAGATATAATACAATATTTCCTCTGCCCAAGATTCTGGTGTAACTAGAGGAATAATTTCAGAGTTGGGAGGTGTTTAATTCACTACAATGCAGCACCCTCCGATAGTTTGCATGCTCTCCCCAATAGACTGGGGCATCTAGAATTATCCATTGTGTTTGGGCAGTGTGTTGATTGCTGTGCGCGTCTGTCCTGACGGCGGGGGTCACAGTCTTGATTCCTATCGGCGCACACCCTGTTAGTGGAACGTTGAATAGTAGTGATTGTATGACTGACGAAAACGGATGGTGGACTTCTAGTCTCTCTCCAGGGAGGCTCTATGGTGTCACTCTCCACCAAAAATGTAATCCAGAATGCAAATTCTTACTTGATGCAGATCGTCTAGAAACTAAAGAAATACTTCAGACTGACCGCCTGCAGTTTCACATAAACCTCCGATTCAATCTATTCTACTCGCTTTCCTCAATTTTCTAATATGTTCTGATCAACACCCTGCTCTAACTATGGCTCTATTCCATTACCGAATAAAGGCTGATTTCTGTTATTTTGTTATATTCCAATGTTAGAATTATTATCCAACCGATGCCTGCTTCCTTTTACCTCGAAGTGGCGGAGCAAACAATTGGAAGGTAAATAATTAGACCATCCGTTGTGTCTAACCACCTCGGTTCGCTGATAAGAAAATGCTGTGAACTGCTCACCTAAATTAATCACTGTAAACAGATCCTAGAATGACTAAGAAATAGTATTAATTGCCAATACAGGACAGGGTAAAGATAGCAACTGTTAAGTACTATAATATTTTAGAACAAGAGTGGTAAATACAGAATACTACGTGTCCAAAGATCCATCCCACAACGCCAATTTCAATATTGCACCTGGACACGTGCTATATAGTGACCTATGTATCTACATCACAGCTAGTAATCGATTACTCATTAGGTAAATGAAGCGGGGACAAGATGAAAGAGGTTCCGTGTCCTGTTTCATGTCTTGACTACCCTTCATAAACCGATAACGCTCCGAACTCTCATTTTGAGAAAAAAGTGCCTTTCCTATTGATAGAGCGGTTAGTAGTGTTCGTCAGTTACAGATGTAATGCTAGTAAGCTCACGTGAATCAAACAAGCATATTTGCTCACGTTAGAAACAAAAACAACATTCTGTCCAATCAGGATTCGTTAAATCTCAGTGAAGAAAATTTGCTTCTCTAGAGCACGTAACTTACAGGCCTATTTTGGAAGGCACTTTCGAACATACATTGGGTAGAAGAGAGATTAGCATCTTCCCACCTCAAATATAATAGATTATTCCACCAATTAGTGCGTATTGATCTCATGAAAATAGAGGGCTTATGAACTCGTTAACGATAAACACATTAGTCATTCGAAATCGAATTTAGAAAGTTACTTGTGCCCATTGCACCGATCAATCAGTAAGTTGCTCACAAAAATGACCCAAAAATGAAGATGTATATGTAATTAGCTACAAAAAGTTCGAACAGACAGCCAATGAAAATGAAAAAAAACTCTTTGGATCACCCTCATAACTGCCCTTATTCTACTGGACATCAGGAAATAATAAAAAAAGGAATGCATATACACGGCTCAATTAAATGATTTACAATAAACAGAATTAAGAAATTACTACAAAATAGGTAGGATGAGGAGGAGGATTCAGCGAACTTTTACGCCAAGTCGGGATTGCGCTAATTGACCCACCGCCTGATGCAATGGACGTACTTCATCCATTGTGAGTGTTTTCGCATGATTTCGGTAGACAATGCGATAGCATAGGCTCAATCGGCCTCGCTTAGTATCCTCAAACCGATCGATCATGGTTACCTAAAAGGGAAATATTGCATCCGTGACAGGAATTTCGCATGCTAAGCAATAAGTCTTAATATAGGCAGGTGAAATATCTGAAGATCAAGAAAGAGAGCTTCCTTTTTTATCTACCTAGGCGTATTTAATGAATTAGAACCCGAAAATTGAATAAGAGCTTTAATTAGTTTAAGTAAAGATTTATTTATTTATTTCAAATGGCAGGCGTTTTGATAGCTATCATTAGCCATTTAGCTGACTTCGGGCTTCACAGAGGGAAGGTTCATCAAAGTAGCAGAAAGTCGAGGGGTGGGGAACAGAAGAGCGATTCACAGATGTAAAAGAGGCAGACAGACACAAAGGTAGAGAAAAAGGTAAGGTGAGTACTGTAAGAGGGGTCGAATATGACAGCCAGGGGGGTCGTGGTAGTTTGAAGTCAGAAGTCAACTGGCAGTTAATAGACTTTTTTGTCGTATGAGTATGCGTTGCCCAGGGTGCACCACGTGGAGGTAAGTCTATCGCACACCCCAGTTTAAGTAAAGATAATAT